ACACCTGTCCCTGCCATAGCCAACGCACTTTAGAGAGATAGGGCAAATCCACACTGAATACACCTCATTGTTCAACTTTAGCATGTTATGGAATCGATGAAACTGATGATGCCGTGCTGCATTCGCTCAGATATAGTTAACAATACTTTATAACTTGTTTCAAAGTGTCACTTAAAGTAGTGGCTTTAGCACAGAGATTTTGCTGATGCAAGATACAATGAAAAGAAACAAGAGCATCTGAATCTGTCAACACTTTAATTTGTGCAATAAACCCTTCATGTTTTCCTGTCGTAGAAGGTGCACCGTCTGTACATATGCTGGCTAAATTTATGAAATTCAGTCCAACTTCACAACATTTATCTTAAAAGTTGACAAAGATATGTATTCCCCCTGTTCTGTTTGAAAGAGTGCCCAATGCAAGTAACACTTCGTAGCAAAGAAAATCTTCCATTTTGACCTGAATGAAGTGTAAAGCTGCACTGAGTCAGTGGTATTAGTTGATGCATCCAAAGCAACTCAATAATATATATTTTCCTTTTGAAGTATTGCATGAAGTTGTTCTGTTAAGTTGAAGGCAAATTCATGCTGCTGATTAGTTATGGTTCTCCTTGAAAGAGGCAGTTGTTTGTACTTTGAAACATAATTGAGGTCTAAGCATCCTACAGCTTTGAGAATGCATTCTTTCACAACTTCCACATCACTGAATGGCTTCCCTTTTTCCCCGGAGCATACAAGCTACTTTATAAGTTGCTTCAGTGGCATAATTTCCAGGTATTATTGCTGCTTAAAAGAATTGTCCTTGTTTTTGCTTTTCACCTTTTAATTTCTGCAACGCAACCTTTGACGCCTCTCCTAATTTAAAATATTTGTGGTCCTTGTGAGTGTTATAACGCGGATGGGCATTGAATTTCTTTAACATTGATACCGCAGTATCACAAAGCAAGCAAATCATCTTAAATTTAGCAGGAACAAGATAAGACTGCAATTCCCAATCCTCATTAAAAACAAAAACCTTCCTTCAGCGGTCTCTTGGTCTTCTTCGACGTGACGGACTATTCAGCAGACAGAATTAAAAAATACTTTAGAGCTGTGAAACTATCCAGAAACTCCGTTTCAAACAGAAACACAGTGCACCACTGTCAAAAGCGGACAACAGACTGGCACACTCAACCCCCACAAACTCTCGCCGACCAGCCTTGTGCGGTAGTGGCGCCAGTCAGGTGGGGGAAGTTAGAACTAAGTCGTAGCAGCCGTCAATCCAGCCCTCACAGCTTACCAGTGTTCTAACTATGCCGGTCAATCTGGGAGGATTATTTCACTGAAACTTATTTTATTCGTTGGCATTTTAAATATGTTCATTTTAAAAATAAAACGAAAATATAAAAATGCGTTAATAGAAATAAAAGAATGTGTTCTGTAAAGTTTAGAGTCAGCCAAAAGGCTGCACTTAAGGACCTAGAAGGCCGCATGTGGCCTTAAGCCGCAGGTTCCCCACCCCTGTCGTAGGACCTGTTTTTGCACAATTCTCCACCTGTCATTGCTCCTCAACCCGGGCAGTGCAGGTGCATCCAGACACACCCTGGGGAGCAGCGGGGCAGGGTAACGCCGCCCTGCTACCCCAGCCTCCTGTCCCGGGAGCTGCTCCACATCCTGCCCTACTGACCTCGCGCACACAACACCCCAACTCGGGCCCGGCTCCTTTTGGGGGCTGCAGAGTTACGAGGAAAAAAAGCACAGATAGGGTGTGGCTGTGTCTCCACACTCGGGTGTAACCCAGAGTCTCCCGACATGTTTGTGTTTTCCCATCGCGCTGGCTGCTCCCTGCAAAGGCCACCAACCAAGACACCCGCCCCCGGAGCCCCGGGGCCCTCTCCAAGAGGGACCACCTCTCGGCGAGACAGACGGGCGGCTCCCACTTGTAAGAGTGAAGCCACCACCATGCCAAGGAGGGGACGACAGGCAGCTGGGGAAGGCACCGGCCAGCAAAAACAGTGACTTAACGGTTGACACCACACCACACCAAACCCAGGGCTGGGTGGCCAGAAACCAAACCGGAGCCAGCCAACAACGCCGATGCTAAAAACAGGCAATGAGTGACTTCCCGCGAGACACCAGCAAGGGTGCGGGTCTGTCCGGCAGCCACGGGGCCCCTGAAGCCTCACGGGGGGGGGGGGGGCACCAGCACAGCGAGTGGGGCTGGACCCACCGAGCCCCTCACCCCAGTCGCGACACAGCCACAGCTCTGGCTCTTCCTCCCCGAGACACCGCAGTGGCCACCCCACAGGAACCTGCCGGGTTCAATGCAGAGCGGAAGTTCAGCACAGTTAGTAAGTGGCAGTCATTGTTCTTAAGCCCAGAGATTTACAGAAACTGCCAGGCGTCTGTACTCCCTCCCTGCGAGGCTAATGACCGCAAGAACTGGGATGTGGGCCTCGTGCTAGGAGGCCCGAGGGTGTTACAGGAGCCGTGACATTTCTCCCGAAGAGGAGAGACCTTAGAAAGGCCAAGTCTCACACCCCCAGCCACACAGAGAGGCTCTGTGAAGACAGTACTTCTGGGGACCCCAAGGCTGGAAACCCAGTGCCGGTCACAGGTCCGAGACCACCCGGTGACCTTGGCCCCACCTACCAATCAGCTCTGTCCCTGCCCCCGACCCCCGACCCACAGAGCCTGTGTCACAACTCAGTGTCAGAAAGCCCCACACAGCACCCCGACTGCCCACAGGCATCCCAAACTCAGAGCAATTGTTTTTCAAATCTCCGCTCCCCCGCAGGGCTCTCTCTTCAGTAACCAGCAGCCTGCCAGGCTTCCTCCGGGCACCCGACCCCCCACGTCCAGCCCCGCTCACCACCGCCACCTCCGCCTGGACGGGGCCACCAGCCTCCCAGCTGCAACTCCTGGTCTCTCCTCTGTCTGCACCCCCTAGCAGAGGCCACGGGACCCTTGGAAAATGTTAAGTTGGATAAAAGCCCTCCGGGGCTTCCACCTGAGGACTGAACTCTGATCTTTTTCTTTTGCTAAAAACTCCTTCCTAAGGAGGCCAGCTGGGTCAGGCAGACAAAGGGTAAATTCCCACTAAGCATTCCCACTAAGCGGGGTGGTTTACTTCCCAACCTGATTCTGGTATGGCATTAACATCACCTAAAAAATAAGAAGCCCCTGTCTTAACTCAAGCATCCTAGCAGATGCCTATCATAAATTTAAAATATCTTAAAGCATCCTAGCAGGCGCCTATTGTAAATTTAAAACATCATCCTGTCTGGACCTCCCAGAGTGCTCACACCCTTATCTTAAAATAAACATATCCTTTCTGGTCTTCTAGATAAAGTCTAACTCTCTCAGCCAACTGCCACCCAAAGAATCTTTAAACCCACCGATAACCTGTAAGCCCATGCTTAGAGATGTCCCACCTTTTGGGGCCAAACCAACGTGTGCCTCTCATGTACTGATTTGTGACTTTGCCTGTAACCCCTGTCTCTCTGAAAATGTATAAAACTGAACTGTGACCCAGCCACAGCGCGCCCACTTGCCCAAGGCCTCTTGGCAGTGGCTCCGGGTCATGGCTCTCAAATTTGGCTCAGAATAAATCTCTTTAAAATTATTTTACAGAGTTTGGCTTTTTTTTTCCGTTGACACACCCCACCCACAGTAACAGGCAAGTCCCATCTCTGCCGCCAAGGCCATGGGAGACCTTTCCCGTCCCCCACCTCCCTCTGCCCGCTACACCAGCCTCCTGCCGGTCGGCCTCAGGGCCTTGCGTGTGCTGTGACTCCTGCCTGGACCCGTCTCTCCCTAACACACATGGGGAACCCAGTCTCTCTCCAGGTCTCTGGAGAAATGTCACCGTGTGAGTGACCACTGTGCACCAGAGACCTGCCCCCACCTGCCCAGCCCCGTGCCCTCCCCGTTCGGGGCCGTCCTCCTCAGTTCCAGCTCCACCAGACACACTTGTTCCTGCGCTTCCCCCGTCTCTCCGTCCAGTGGGAAAGGCCCCACTGCAGCCAGGCCTCTGCCCGTCACACACACTGACCCAGGGCCAGGACACTGCCCCGCGGGCCCCAACAGACACTCAGTGAAAACCTGCCAAAGAGGGACTGAATGAAACCAGACACACCCACACTTGCCAGCCTTGGGCTTCCTCTGCCTGCAGCATTCCCCCCTTGGCACTGTCTACACCCGTCCTCTGTAATCCTCCCCTCCCCAGGAGGATCGGATGACATCTTCATAAGCCTCTGCCAATCCCTCTGCCACCGGACAGCTCTGCACAGGGGCCTTGGGGAGGGTGGCCGGCGTGTCCTTGTCCCATCCCAACCACCGCCCCGGGGCCCTGGGGGTGAGGGGTGGGGGGTGCTTTCCATGACTATGAAAAATGCACTTCTCCAAATGAGGACGCCTCTGGAGGTCATGCGGCCAAACTGTCACACCAAGAGCAACGCGCACTTCCCCCCGGGCAGGGCGCACATCCCAACACAGAGCAGGTCAGGAGCCCCTTCTTGAACTTCTTGGCGACAGGAAGTCCCCTGCCTGCCAGGGCGCCCCTGGGCTTTCGGATCCCGCTGGAGGAAAGCACCTGTCCTTGGGCTGAACTGCAGTGGGGTGGGGGTGCGCGCCCTCGGGATCCATCCACGGTCAATCTCGTCCAGACGTGCCCGAGGTCAGCCCCCGAGATGCCCTGCAGCCCTCAGCAGCGACATGACCGCGCCGCCTCCTGGGGTCTCAAGCCCGCAGGGAGCTATGGCCCGTCTTCCCCTCCCCCTCAGGCACCTCCTCCGGCCCTTTGTCACCCCTGCCGGGAGCAGACAGCCCTCAGCGCGGGACATTTTCCTGCCAGCGGCCGCCCAGGCCCCCGGCCCCGCTCCGGCCTCCGCCACGGCCGCCACCCGCCCCAGCCCGGCCCGCCCGCCACTTCCCCGGCCCTCCCGCCAACCGTCCGGCGCGGGCCCCGCAGACGAGCGGGTGCCCGGCCGGGGCCGGCGGGGCCGGGCGGCGGCAACACTCACCCGCGCCGGGGGCGCCGGCTCCGGGCCCCGGGCTCCGCCACCAGCGCAGCAGCGCCCGCGCGGGCTCCAGGCTCACGGCGCAGCGCTGCTGCTTCACCCACAGCTCGGAGCGCAGCGGCTCCGCCGCCCCCGTCGCCCCCATCGCCGCGGCGCGGTGGTCAGCGGGCGGGGGCGCGGACGCCGAGGGCGCGGGACCGTTAGCGGCCCCTGCAGTCGGCCCGGGCGGCGGCGGCGGTGGCGCGGGGCGGGCGCGGAGGGCGGCGCTGCGTCACCCCGCACGCAGAGCGAGGGCGGCCGGCGGCGGGAGGGGGGCCGGGACCCAGGGGAGGTGGGAGGGGACCGGGAGGGGGCCGGGTCGGGGTACAGAGGAGGGGGCTGGGGAGGGTGGGAGAGGACTAAGGGGAGCCCTGGGGGACCAAGGAGGGGGCCGGGACGGGGAGGGGTGGGAGGGGGCCGAGGAGGGGGCCGGGTCGGGGAACAGAGGAGAGGGCCGTGGAGGTGGGGGGACCTAAGAGGGGCCTGGGGGGGCCGAGGAAGGGGGCCTGGGCGAGGGTCCGAGCGCTGGCGGCTGCCGGGGGATTGGGGGGTTGGGGGGGACCCTCCTCTGCAGCAGCCCTGCGCTGGGGTCGGTCGCTCCCGCAGTTGTGGGCTCCGCAGCGCCTCCCTGGCAGGTTGTGATGACAGGCAGGGCGGGCGGGCGGGCGGCGCAGAAATGCTGGCGGGGCGGTCCTGCGCAGGTGGTGGGCGCCCACGGGCGGCATGACCTTGGGCGACGATCTCCTTTTGGATGCCGGCCGGTCTCCCGTGGGCCGGGGAAGGGCTCAGCAGGCTAGTCTGGACGGGCAGGAAGGCCTTCCAAAGGAGGCGGTCTTCTGCCCAGGGGCTTGGGGATGTGGCCTGGAAACCACTCTGGAGCCTGAGGCCACCGGAGAGTGCCAGGGCAGACCGCTGAGCAGGCCCAAGGACCCAGAGCTGGGCCTGAGCACTTGGCAGAGGCATGGCCTCTGTGGCGGAGTTCTCCTTCCTCACCATCCCGGCAGCTCAGCACCCTGCCTCAGGGAGGCCTCCTGACCACCCAGCTAAAGGAGCCAGCACCCTGCAGCCGGCTCCAGGCCTGTCTGCAGAGCTCGTCTGTCTGCTCCACAGGGACATTGCTCTATCCCAGGCACCTAACTCAGTCCTGGCATGCAGGAAGCCCTCAGATACGGGTTTAGCAAGCACATCTATCCCCAACTCATCAACAAAGACTCTGTGGCTCCCAGAGGTTAAGTGACTAGCCCAGGGCTCCAACATGACGGAGCCCCAAGCTCACCCGAGCTCTGGCCCCAGGACTGGCCTGGGAGCCACCTGCCCTTCCCGCAGCTCTCCCTGCCTGGCCCGGCTGCTGCAGACAGAGGTGGGGCAGGCCAGGTCCACGTGGCCTCACTGCTGTGCCTGGCACTGGTAGCTCCATGCACAGGCCTTATCCTGCCAGCTCCCTCAGACTGTCTACACGGCAGGAACAAGCCATGAATCACCCCTTCCTGGGAGCCCAGCCCCCATGCAAGTCTTGCCGCCAAGGCCCAGACAGTCTTGCAGCCTCCTTTGGGGCCAGAGTCCTAGCCCCGCCCTTGAGCAAGCCATACTTGGTCTCCCAGTGCCGTGGGGTGGACGGCAGCAAGGCCTGCCCTGCCTCCTCCCTCCCACGGCTGCTGCTCTGAGGCTTGGGAATGTGGATCTGAAACTTCTTTGGAAGCCTTGTGCCCGTGGGAGGCAGGTGGTGATGTTGCCCAGCTGCTTGCAAAGAGGGTTGGCGGGTGTGGGCAGGAGCTCGGGGACACCAGCATCCCTCCCCCAGGACCTCTTCCTCCGGCCTCTCCGTGGCCAGGCTCCTTCTGCCGCTCCTTGTTTCTGCATTTAGGTGTCTTCCAGATGCACGAAATCCTGCAGCCAGAGTAGAGGGCCCCCAGAGAACTCCCCTTTGGGAGACAGGCCTGTTGGCTGTCATGGGTTGACCCCTCCAAATTCACACCTGTACGCCCTAACCCCCAGCATCTCAGAATGTGACTGTATTTGGAGATAGGATCTTTAGAGGTGATTAAATGCAGCTATTAGGGCGGGCCTTAACCCTTTGCACTCGGATGTCGAGTGTGGATAATGTCGAGTGGATAATGAGAAAAAAAAGCAAGCGAGTGAGTGCAAAGGGTTAATCCAGTCTGACCGGCATCCTTGTAAGAAGAGGAAATCTGGACTCACGAAGAGACACCAAGTGTGTACACAGAGGAATGACCCTGTGAAGAGGCAGCAAGACAGTGGCCGTCTTCAAGCCAAGGAGAGACCTCAGAGGAAAGCAGCCGTGCCGGCTTGGACCTTGATCTTGGACTTCCAGCCTTGGTGCGCTCCGTGGACTGCTCACTGGGAAGCAACGGGTTGCTGCTGTTTGAGCCTCCCAGTCGGTGGCGTTTTGTCACGGCTAAGACAGCGGTCTTCCAGCCAGGGTCCTGTAGTTCCAGGATCGGCTGGGGCCGGGCCTGGCCACTGCGGGACCCCAGGCTTATGCTCAGGGGAGAGGGTGGTGCAGCGAAGGCCCAGACTCCAGAAGACACGCTTGGGTTGGATGGGGAGAGGGGCTGGGTGGGGTCAGGCCCCACGTGGGGGACCGTGGGCCCAGGACTCTGAGCATAGCACTAGGGGATGGAAGGAAGAGGCAGCTTTGCCCCAGCACAGCTGCCAGCCCCCTGCTGTGTGTTGGATCTCGGGGGTGGGGTGGGGGGTCGGAGGTGGCTGTGAAGGTGCCTGGCAGCTTGCAGACTCAGCAGCCCTGGGTGGGCTGTCCTCTGCATCAGGGCACACTCCCGGCTCCCTGGTGGCCTGCCAGCACCTTGCTCTCTTCTTCCTGGCAGGCACGACTTTCTCATGCTAGGCCTTGGCCAAAATGTGCTTCCCACAGGTCTGCCTGGGAGACCCCCACTCACCTTCTCCTCTGACCCATATCCCCTCCCTCCGGGCCACAGAGTCCTCTGGCAGTTGACTGCATGGTGCTTCCACCTGGCTGCCACAGGGCCTCATTTCCACCCGTGGCACTGCAAGACAGCTGATGCCCCAGCCGGTCACTGGCCTGGCATGTGCACGGCTGGCCCCAGCCCCACACAGGGGCTGGACAGGCCCTGAGCTGCCAGGTAGGGCAGAGAGCATGGGCTCAGACCCAGCAGCCTGGGCCCTGATTAGTCGGGCCCTGACCTGCCACCTGCCCCTGTCGTGTGTCCAGTCTGCAGGCTTGGGCTGCTGCCTGGTGGCCTAATGGCCCTGAGCCCTTAGTAGCCCAGACATCCTGCTCAGCTTCCGTAGCAACCACTGCCCTGGGCTGCCAGATTATCCCACCCGTGGGCTGCCTGGACCCTGTCTAAGCCCATACGTGGCCATCCAACACCCACGAGTTTCTACCCACTGGGTCGCCCATGCCATGGACCCCCGGGCCCTTCCTGTCGACAGAGCCCTGGCCACTAGCAGGAACCTGGCACCAGCAGCACCTTCTACCACCATCCCCTCCATGGCCTCCGGTCTACTTTTCCCTTCTCTCCTGGCCGCTGGCCTTGTCTGCTGTGGCAGTCCTGCTGGCTTATCCTCCAGACTTCCTCCCTGATAAAGTCAGCAGCACCATTTGACATTGGAGTACTGCTGGGTGCGGGTGGGAGGATCCCAGCACCAGCTGTGCCCTGGCTGCCAGAACGTCACTCTCTGCACTCCACCCTCAAGGAGGAGCCTTCCCAGCTCTTCTTCAAGGCCGACTGCCTGGAAGAAATGTCCGGGGCCCAAACATTTGGAGAGTAAGCTGATAATTTACAAACGCATATCCCTACATTGCCCACATGACCTGGACAATAACCGCTGGAAATGGGCATTATTCACTTCTTTTTACAGGTGGAAAAATGGAGGCGCACAAAGCTAACCTGACCAGCTCAAGTTGTACAGAAAGTCAACTAGATGGGGAGGGGGGCACTGAGGCTCCCCTGCTCCAGGCTGCGGGGTTCGTCCGGCATGAGAGAGTGGTAGATGATGCACGCTCCAGCCTGCACCCCCAGTGGGCTCTGCTCCCTGGGCACTCGGGCAGGCCAGCCTGTTCCTTCCTCCAGGGCACGGCAGGGCGTCCTGCCTGAACTGCTCTGTAGGAAGATAGCGCAGCCCCTCCCAGATTCCACCTGTCACCTGAGAAAGCCCGGGAGCTCAGGCCGAAATAGAGGGCAGCCCTCAGGGCAGCAGGTCTGAGCTGAAAGGGGTGTGAGAGGTGAGGCCAGCAGAGAATGATGCCAAGGTGGCCAGGGACCAGGGCTGTGCACACACCTGGGGAGCCAGGGGGAGCACCCCACCTGGGGGAGGGCCCCAAAGGTAGGCTTGGGCTTGGTCTGGACCCTGCAGTTTCCCACAACTTGCCGGGGTGACCAGTCTTGTTTGGGCACCAGCATGATGCCTGTCACTCTGCTTAGCATTGCTCATTCAGTCCTCTAGGTGAGGCTGCTCTGCAGGTGAGGCTGCCAGGTCCCAGCGAGGCTAGAGGACCGGGCCAGGGGCAGAACTGGGAATGAACACAGGACTGCCAGACCCCGAAGCCTGCACTCTTCACCTGCACCCTCTCCTCTCTAGACGGAGCACCCTGAAAGTAGACCAGTCTGCCTGCACCCGAGGAAGTGGGGGCCTGCCTCTGCTGGGGTCTTCAATGAAGTGTCCATTTCTCATCGTTGCAATGTAGCCTTGACTTATTTTGGGGAGCAGAGGCTGCCACAATGTCCAGCCTTGGGAGTTTGGGGGATGGTTCCCCCAAGAGGCCCCTATCCTGGTGACATCTGTGACCCAGCACGGAGCCCAGCTGAGTGACTCTGCACAGCCTGGTTGGGTGGAATGAGGTCACTGGGAAACCAGGCCAGGGCTGTGAGGCATGGTCAGAGGCGGCTACTGCTTGAAGCACCATAAACTGTGGCTTTGAGACGATAAGGAGAGGCTAGAGATCTTGCTGGATGTGTTTTATTTGCCTTTTTGTATTTGAAGACTATAAAAAAAAAAAGTGATAAAATAGCAAAATGGGCCGGGCACAGTGGCTCTTGGCTGTAACCCTAGCACTCTGGAAGGCTGAGGTGGGAGGATCGCTTGAGGTCAGGAGTAGAGATTGCTGCCAGCTAGGCTGACACTATGGCACTCGCTCTAACCCAGGCAACAAAGCAAGACTCTATCTCAG